TTATCTGAGTTAATGTAAACATAAGATGAGACAGAAACGTCCTGCACCTTAGAGTCCAAGATGGAGTAGGATATCTTGGCGTTGTCACCCGAATCAGAATCAGCTGCTGACACTGAGCACAAAATTTTCCCAGGAGCATGATTCTCTTTTACATAAACTACATAAGAACGCTGGGAGAAAACTGGTGGGTTGTCATTTACATCTAACAATTCAACAAGTATTATTTTTTCACTCGATAACGGGGGCTTCCCAGAATCAGTAGCACTTATCTTGACACTATACTTGCCGTTTTTTTCACGGTCAAGTGGCACTTTTGTCACTAATGAGTAATGGTTAGAGACTGAAGGATTTAACTTAAAGGGGGATTTGGAAGACACGCTTAACGTAATCTTACCATTGTCACCCGAATCTGGGTCTTTTGCACTTATCAATGCAATAACTGTTCCGATTGCAGAGTCTTCTGGAACAGGTGTTGTTAAAGACGTCACAATTATTTCAGGTATATTATCGTTAATGTCAACTATTTTAATTTCGACGCAACAATGCCCATCCATCTTAGGGTTTCCTTTGTCTTTAGCAGTTATGTCAAATCTATGTAAAGAGTTCGTTTCATGGTCTAAACTTCCTTTGACAACAATAGCTCCAGTAGAAGGTTCAATGTCAAATAATGATAAAATCAGATCCGTAGTTTGCTCTGCGAAGTAGTATTCGATTTCTCCATTTTGTCCTTCGTCTGCATCTGTGGCTTTGACGTGCAATATTTCAGTTCCAGGTCTTGCATTTTCGCTGACATTAGCCTCATATACCTGCTTTTCAAATTGTGGCGCATTATCATTGTTGTCAAGAACTATAACTTTAATTTCAGATGTCCCTGAGCGCACCGGATCTCCACCATCGACAGCAGTGAGAATAAGATTGTACACAGGCAGCTTTTCTCGATCAAGAGGTTTTTCGAGCACCAATTCAGGGATTTTTCTGCCATCCTTGTGGGTTTTAACAGTCAATTTGAAATGATCATTTTTGCTTATAAAATAAGCGCGTACAGAATTAGAGCCCACATCGGGATCCTGTGCACTTTCTAAAGGAAACCGCGCGCCTGGATTGACCAGTTCTGCAATTTGCAATACTTTCTCTTTAGTAAGAAAACTAGGGGAATTGTCGTTTGTATCCTGAATTTCAATTTCGACTCTATGCAGCTGAAGGGGGTTATCTATGACTAGTTCCAAAGGCAACAAACATGACGGTCTTTGTCCACACAGATCTTCCCTGTCTATCCTATCAATCACCACCAGTTCTCCCTTCCCCAAGTCCACACTAAAATACTGCTTACCAGCTTCCGAGGTTATCCTCAATTTACGTCGGTGCAGTTCAGATACAACCAACCCCAAATCTCTGGCTAGATTTTCTACCACAGAGCCCTGTTTCAGTTCCTCCGGGATACTGTAGCGAGTCTGTCCGTCTATTGTAGTCCACAAGAGAAAGAAATGATGCCACCACAAAAACACCTGCCATGCAGTCAATTTGTTCCACATTATTCCTCGTTCCAAAAATCCCATATCTTCTCACTCCAATCCCAACTTCTTAACTGATTAGTGTAAAATGTCTGTGATCCAATGTAGATGCGTCCACAGAGACAGTCATGCTTTGTGTCTGCATATGCATCCCTCCTCTCCTGTGCAGAACATTGTAATGGCTACGACGCTGAAGCTACTCGGCGAGAGGGAGTAGATCTCTTTGTACAGCTCTGAATTTCATTGGTGGACGGAGTATACCTATTTTCACCAATGGTGGCATCAGTAAGCGTCTACAGAACAGTGACGTAAAAATATGATTCAAAGAAAGATAATCTTGATTGTTACAACTCTAATATATATAATATTAAATATATTTGAGTATACCCATTAAACAGTCTCCCAATCACCTTCAGCGGTTTGTAAGTGTACTTGAAGACCATAAATATAAATATGAAATCTATATGATATATTTACTATTGATAAACACTGTGGATAATAGATGACTATAGTGTTCTATAAATAACTGAATGCCTGAGCCTTTAAGATCACTCATATAATGCTCTGTGTTAAACCAGCATATATCCTCTTGCCTGTATGTAACTGCATACATGCACATGCCTGTGTGGCTGACAAGGCTCTTCGTTGCCTTCCTGTGGCCAGAGAAAGCCAGTGCAGCCTGCATACGTCAGTACGTCTTCCAAGCTCTCCACAAGCCTCGGAGAAATAATTTTGTCAGCAGCCAACGTAAAATACCCGTATGGAGGTCTGTAGAGCAAATGAAAAGGGAGGGGGAGGGCAGATGGTGCCTCTCTCTCTCTCTCTCTCTCTCTCTCTCTCTCTCTCTCTCTCTCTC